ATGTACCATGTTTATATTATTCTCCATTTTTATTCTTTTTGATGACACATGAAAATGATGTAAAATGCATGTAAAATAATCAGCAAAAACATACAAAGCAAAGTCTCAAGGATCATTATTTAAGATTAATTCATTTTTGAAGTTTGTGAATAGGTTATAGGCTTCCCCCATTTAGGTGTTGCCGCTGAATAAATCAAGTGAGGTTAATTTTTTGGGGGTGGGAGGCTGTTGTTAAAAATGGGCTGTTGTTAAAAATGTCTTACCTCTTCGGTGCTTTCTGTGTCCTCACCTGTTCTGATCTCTGCAACACTGGGGGGGAAAAAAAGAAAATCTGTACCTAATTACAGTGGCATCAGCTTGACATGGAAATCCCCTAATGTCATGCCAGGAAGAATGTATTTAGATATGTTATACAAAGAGTAAGTATGAACACCCACAATGAAAAAATATCCTCTACCTTTTCTTTCCTTCGAAAGATGTGCACTTCAGAAGCACAGATTCGGCCATATATCGACACTTATTGACATTGGTTTGCAACCAATAAATCAGAACCTAAGAAATGTACAGTATTCATTTTAATGTGACAAACAGACAACTTTAACCACATTTAAGGTTTCAGTTTAATCTTTTCAATTAAGTTGCTACTTATACTGAAGTACTGCAGTTTGGAAGCCAACAATTAAAGAAGAAGTGTGAAGTCATGCTTCCATTTTATTGTACTTGGTATATAATCTCTGATTGTTGCTCCTCAAATTATATTGACACCCGTAGCTTTAGAGGCCTCAAAGCCATCACTTGCTTATTAATTTCTTTGCTTTAAATGAAATTCCTATTCTAATTGTTCATTTAGTACACATCTCTATAGCTCACCTCAGGCAAAATCACTTCTGTTAGAAACATCTGCTTCTCTGCTGCAGTTCCAGGCACAGATATGATTCGTTCCAGTCACTGTATTGTGTTCTGTCTAGGGTAATATGCAAAGAAGAAAATGGAAAAACTGTTTTATACCATGCAGACAGAGAACATCATCAATACAATGCTATGAGCCATGTTTTTTTCACCCAGCCCTCTAGAGAGATGGAAACTTTTTTTCTTGCTGCTGTCATCAAGTGCTTGCTAATGAGGGAATGTTGGGTCTCTGCAGTTAATGTTGTAAAGTGCCCTTACATGCATGTATGTAGAGTGCCACGAGATAAGTCAGTTTGTGATTTGGTGCTTTGTATGTATATATATATTATTACAAAAATTCTATACTTAATTGAACAGCCCAATTTCCATTCATCCCTTTTATTAATTTGAATAATGAATGTAAAATAACCTGCCAAAATTTACATAACCTCAAAGCCGCAACTTCCGCAAGGATCATAATTTAATAAGATTAATTAATCTCTGATGTTTGTGTTGTACGGTTTCTGCCATCAGTCAAGGCAAGGGAGGCTCTTTAGAAAAAAAAACTGGATGAGAACGTTATCGATATTACAAAAATAAAACAACGCAAGTATTACAAAATGTGATATTAAAAAGTGTAAAAGTCCCTAGTTTTTACAAAATAACTGTCCAACAGCGACACCCGCTGGTAAAGCTAAAAAGAACAGCTGAACATCAGTTGACAAATAAAATATATTGTTTATATTATTACTGTGCTTTGTTATTATTTTGGAATAAATATGAAAATACGTAAAAACACTAACTTGATGAGATTTATTGGTTTTGATAAACAGAATAGTACATAGTGTAAAAATACAAAATATAATTGTATTTTGCCTTTTAAATGTAATGTTTATTTACTGCAGGGAGATTACAACAGTAAGGTTATACAACACTTTTTTTCACACACTTTTTTTCTTTTCATTTTTATCACATAATAAGGCAGAATAGTTTCTGTACTGTAATAAATGCTATGTCAAGTAGCACTGAATTGTTGGGTGTCATCACGCATCTCAACCAATGAGAGCATTTGGGGTGGGCCTAAGACTGCAGCAGCGCTCACATGAAGCGCTCACTACTTCATAAGTTGAAAATAGGAAGTTTCCGACAGCACGTGAAGACAGCAGAGAAGCGCTAGCACTCTTACTCAGCACTAGTGGTGGGCGGTATGACCAAAAATTTATATCATGGTATTTTTCAAAATTATACAGATTTCACGGTATATGACGTTATTTATGTTTTATTTTTTCCATGTGTAGTGATGTTGCTAAAACGTCACCATTATTAATTATGTGGCCAATGAGCGATCGCCCGTTTAGGGTATATAAGTTGGTTGGTTCTGCCTCTTGCTGTGTGTCATGGTTGAAAGCCCGCCTCTTCCTTCCTGTTGTGGCCTTCCAAGGTAGGTGTTTTTAGCCATTTAGCTTAGCTGTCTGGTTGGAGTGTTATTTATTGATTTGTGCGATCTGTACCTCTTTAGTGTGTTTTTAGGCTGCTGAGATATACTGGGTGCGGTGCGTTGTTGGCTCTCAGGTAAGTTAATGACGTTTGGGAAGCTGGGGGAAATTGTGTTCAGCTTAATGAGTTTTTGTGTTTCAGTGTGGTGTGCCTTCATCAGATGTTTTATTGTAGTTGTAATTGTGCTGTGTGTGTGTTTTGGAATAGGTTGAGCGGAAGCGGTAATTAATACAGCTTGTTTCCTGTTCTGCAGTGTTCGAGCCACGCTGCTGCTTTTGGGAGTTTAATTACGTCCATGTCTAGTATCCAAGTGGGCTTGATGTTTGTTTTCTGTTTGGTATTTTGTTTTGAGTAATTTATAATCTTGTTTTTTTTTTCTTACTTTGTGAACCCTCTTTCAAAAGTTGATTGTTTTCTTTTGTTGTGAATATGGACCTTCAATTTGTGGTTTATTTTTAATGTGATGTTTTCTTTTTCTTTTGTTTGTAGGAGTGGAGTGCTTCCGGGAGCGGGTTGGGTTTTGACAGCACCACGGATATTATTTCACTCGGGGTGGCCATTTTCGTGTGTGTCACTATTGCTGTGTTGCTATTTGCAGTGAATCTTGTGGGTGTGATTTTTCTCTTTTGCATACCTGGTGCTGTTACATTCACCCGCTTCTTGTATAGGAAGACTCCGCTTTCTACAGCATTATTATTATTTGGATGTTTTCTGTCTTTTTCTTTTTTTTGATCTATGACATTGGTGTGTGCCGGTTGTGGGTTTTAAATTAATATCAGCCAATTATTTTAGCCTTAATAAAAGATTTTGTACTGAGATTCACGCCTCTTGCTCTTTTCATGTGGAACATATTTGCGTGCCCTTATTTGGGTTATTTTCCCCGGTAATCCGGGGTGGCGTAGTCACTACAACTGGGCCACTTGCTACATTTAGTTTTAATTTGCCTAACTATCTGACCCAGTAGACGCCATAATCTCACTCTGTCTCTCTCCCGTCCCGCATTCCGTTTTTTTTAATTTTTTTTAATGGTGGGTGTTTACGCATTTGGCTAGAGCAGTGCTGATTGGGGAGAACGGAGGTGCGCTCACTCTATTGGTTAGTAAGACTGCAACTCAAGGCTGGCAGTCATGCATATGCCCTGGAACAGAGTAATATTGCGTCCATATTTTAGGTATTAGATTAGGTTAGGAAATTGCAAAGTCTCAAATCGCGATTTCGATTAATCGCACAGCCCTATGAGACATCCATACATAAATGTTAATGTAGTGAAATATGAATCATCATAAATATTGCTTTGTGCTGCTCTTTATTTGAAGATGTTTTGTTGTTTGTTTCTGTACACAACTTGAATGAGTTAATTTATTCATTGCAATGAATAGTTATTAGAAAATCTAACTATTTAGATTAGACATGCATATTGTGGTGCTTTACGGCAGTTATTTACTTAATTGCTTGTTTTTGTATTATTTATGTTTTATACATATTGTGAGAAATAGGCTTTTATCATATATCCTGACTCAAATAATGTGTTTCTATCAGCAAACACTGAGAATAAAGAGAGATGATCTGCTGATGATCTGAATGTCTTGTTGAATGAGTGTTGATCGTCTGAGGCTCATCAATATTAACAGAGCTGCTGAAAAGACTCTTTATTTCATGTCAATAGCTCCTGTTTTCTCCTCATTTATTATGCTGATGTCTTCAGATCTCCTGTAAATGGACACTTAAAGCTAAAAAAGTGTCAAAGGCTTGGAACTGATAATTTTAACAGAACAGTTCAACAGCTCAACAATAAACCACGAGAAAACATGAGATCAAGTATGAGAACTTGCAGCAGAACACATTATTATTATTTTACATTTGATTATTTTATTTACTTCTAAACAACTCTTCAGTTGCGCCTAAATCAGTCATTCTGACAGTTATCACGTTTCTGACAATTCTGCAGGATGGGACACATTTTTAGCTTATTTACTGCTTAAATTATGATTCAAATAATTGTGTAATTATTTGTTCCATTTTTATATTATGCCTATATATTATTAATATTTATAAACAATAAATAAATTAATATAACATTAATTGTAATATATGTATTTATCTGTCTAATAATACAAATACAATAGTTACTCATCTACCAAGCTCTGAAAAGCGAAGGAAATGAAATGCTTCTCTGCAAACTGTGCAGTTCGCCTGTACATTTATAACTGAGATTATGCTTTCAACTGTTTTCTTTATACCTAAATATACATTACATCACTCTCAAACCAAACAGGATTTAAAGAAAAGAAGAGCCAAGAAATCTTTCACCTGCACAAAGTGTGGAAAGAGTTTGACAAACAAAACCAGTCTTGATGTTCACATGAGAGTTCATACTGGAGAGAAACCATTCAGTTGTGATCAGTGCGGGAAGAGTTTCTCACAATCATCACACCTTATAGATCACATTAACATCCACACTGGAGAGAAACCATACACTTGTGATCAGTGCGGGAAGAGTTTCTCACGACCATCAAACCTTAAGAGACACATTAATATCCACACTGGAGAGAAACTGTATACATGTGATCAATGCAGCAAAACATTTTTGAGTGCTTCAGAACTGAAGCAGCACCTGAGAGTTCATACAAAGGAGAAGACACATCCGTGTCATTTGTGTGGAAAGAGTTTTTCATGTTTACAATATTTGAAAGTACATCAGAAAATACATACTGGTGTGAGAGAGTACATGTGCTTTGAGTGTGAAAAGACTTTTACTACAGCGCAGTGTTTAAAACGGCATGAGATTATCCACACTGGAGAGAAACCTTATAAGTGTTCACACTGTGACAAGAGATTCAGTCGGTCATCAACTCTGAAAACACACGAGAGGATCCACATTGGAGAGAAACCGTATCACTGCACTGCATGTGGGAAGTGTTTCAGTCATTCATCTGCTCTACACAGACATACAAAAAACATTCACAGTAAGTAGATCATCTTCAGATCCAGCACTTTCAGATCTGATGCTGCGTCCTCAACAAATCCTCATCAAACGTAATTTATTCCAAGTGCACTCTTTTATTTGAGTCATGAACGATACCCCATTCACGAATGAATCTCTCTTTTGAGTCGATTCTGTTCAAGGTCTTGAATAAAGAAGCCTGCAAGACGGTGTGCATTT